GACAGTCTCACTGATGGACTATTTCTGGTGGGAGCTTACAACCGGAATTATTATCGACGAGGACAAGGATGGGGTGGTTAGTGAGTGTTCGGTTCAAGAGAGCACACAGATAAACTTCTTCTCGTTCGTACGCCCGTTCCGTGCTTTCAAGCCGCGCACGTAAGTGCTCAGGGCAGACGGTCTGAATGGGATTTCAATGTGGGTTTTAAACCTTTGGACAATAAACAATATGCTCTCACCATTTAAAGTCTTACAATAATTTAATTGCTTTTTGGGTGAAGCAACTCGTAATAGTTCTCTTATTTTCTCAAATATTGGTTTGCTAAGTGGCTTAGTAACACTGGCAGTAAACCGCTCTATCTTCATCCATCAGAAGAGCTATGCTTCTAAAGTACTAGATCGCTTCTCGATGTTAGACAGCCATCCAAAGGCCACATCAATTGCACAGAAGCTAAGTGCCTAGGACTGTCCTACAGATGAGGAAACTAAAGCGAACATGGCCAGCAAACTCATATGAAAAGCGGTAGGCAGCTTCATGTATCTCCGGACTGGCACCCGCCCGGACCTAGCCTTCTTCATCCATGAAGTTAGTCAATACCTGGACAATCCAGGACTGCCTCACTGGAATGCGGCCAAGCATGGTCTACGCTACCTAAAAGGCACAATGGACCATGGAATCACCTTAGGTGGAACGGAGAACCTAGAGCTCCTACAGTCAGATGAGTACCTAATGGCGTACATGGGCTCAGACTACGCAGCATGCCAAGATACCCGGCGCTGCATTGGTGGATAAATCACAATGTTCTGCAATAGTCCAATCAGTTGGGTCTCCCGGAGACACCACAACGTGGTGCTTTCGACAACAGAAGCGGAGTACATTGCTCTCTGCTACTGTATGCAAGAGCTTATATATAAAATTACTGCTAAGAGGAATGGGCTACAACAGCTCCAAGCCAGCCTTGATCATGGAAGACAACGAAAGTTGTATTAAGATATGCAACAATCCAGAGCTTCATTACAAGAGCAAGCACACTGACATCAAATATTTCTTCGTTCAAGAGAAGGGGTCCCGTCAGGAGTTCACTATTAGCTACGGTAACACCAGTGAATTGTTGGAACGGTTCCTTTCAATGGTCCAGCCAAGGAGGTAGGATACTCCCCCTAAATCGGTCATGTGGAACTCAGAACTCAGCGCCGATTTTACCCGAGCAACGACTTGTTTGGACGGTGATATAATCAACAGGTCATCAACGTAAACCGAGATGTAACACGGTGCACTGAATAAGACTATAAAGAACACGCATCGGTCTTTAACTAGTCGCGTGAAGCTGAGACGTTCGAGGTATGTCGCGAAAGTGCGATATCAGAATCGAGGCGCTTGCTTGAAGCCGTAGAGGCTCTTATCAAGGTGGCACACGAGTTCGGGTGCGTTTTCCGAGGCAAAACCCTCAGGCTGTTCCATAATGATCTCCACATCTAGTGATCCGTTGAGGAAAGCGGTTTTAATGTCCATCCGTTCAATTTCATAGTCAAGGATCGCAGCAAGCGTGAGCAGAAGTCGCAGACTTCTATTCGTACGACTGGTGAGAAGATATCAGTGCAATCAATGCCATACTTCTGTTGAAAATCTTTGATGACCAGGCGAGCTTTATAGCGTACAATGATACCAGTTGCATCTCGCTTTCGTACGAAAACCCATTGACACTGAAGTACTTTTGCGGTTATGTGGCCGCAGTACCAATGGCTATGTTTGGTTATCCATGAGCGATTCATATTCCGAGAGAGCAGCTGTATGCCAGTCAGATGCATGGGAGAAGCGCATGGCTTCCTTGTATGACTTAAGTTTGGGGTCGAAGCGAGCAGCTAAGAGAGCAACGATGGTCTAATGCTGGCTGTGTTCCTCTTCCAAGTCAATAGGCTCATTCAGCAGTAGCGCTTTGGAGTAGATCGCTAAGGCGTCTACCAGTTTGAATCGCTTAGGAGGAGGGGCGAGCAAAGCAGCATCAGCAGCCACCAAGGAGGCTTAATTCCGTTTTAGGAGCACATTGAGAGGGGGCAGAAGTTCTTTTTGAACCGGTAAGGCGGAACTTAATGGGTTTGGAGTGGCTCGTTCAAGGAACGTGAGGTTCGGAAACGTGTTTTCCTTGAATTTAATGTCACGACTGTAGATGATTTTGTTCTCCGTCGTGCTGAGAAGTCGATAGCCTTTTTGTTTTGCTGAAGACCGACAAACATGCAGAGCTTAGTCTGTGCTTGAAGCTTATTACGCTGTGATTCTGGAATGTGTAAATGCAGCACATCCAAAAAACTTAACGTATTAGAGAGAGGATTTCTTCTCGTACCAAAGCTCGTAAGGAGTAACACCAGAAGGAAGCACACTGCTAGAGATCACGTTGATGAGATGTGTGACGTACTGACAGCACTCCCCCCAAATTTGGCGTGGTAGATCACCATCAATGAGAAGAGCTCGTACCCTCTCAAGGATAGTGCGCATACGGCGTTCAGCGACACCATTCTGTTAAGATGTGTAAGCATTAGTAAACTGAGCATGAGTGCCATAGCGATCAAATATGATCTTACCGAGCTTCTCATATTCTTTGCCGTTGTCGCTTTGGAGTCGAGCGACTTCAGGATCATACTTGTTGAACTGAGTTTCAAGGGTACCGATTTCAGTATTGAACTATTCTTGGCAGCCTTACGAAAATGTTCATAACAGTCATACAGATCGAACATTCGGTGTACCACATACAAGTACATGAAGCGGGAATAGTCATCGATGAAAGTGATGAAATAGTGAGCGCCACTTAGGTTAGGGTAAGGCAAGGGACCATTGATATCGGAGTGAACTTTCTCAAGAGGTTTTTAGTGCGTTCAACATGGATAGTGAAAGGATCACGGTGTGCCTTAGCAAAAATGCACGACGGGCAGAAATACTGCGGAATCGATGATGCCTGAGTTTATGCTAGTTCCGGTGCCGCATGGGTCTTAGACTTGACCTGCATCACACGAAAGTTAGGATGGCCAAGACGTTTATGCCACAACAGTACAGTGGGGTCCATACCTGGTTGAGCACAAGGGCATTGGTGGGATTGTCTTCCGCAGAGGCCGAGGCCACGAGCAGAACGCTGGTGATCATCGGAACGTTGGTTGCGGGGTTGTTTAGCTGGAAAGGGGTTCTGGTCTTCACGTGGCTTTCGTTCAATGATGGCAAAGTTGGCTGGGAGAACGGTACCTCTTTGCTGCCCCGATGCGCAGCTGTTTTTGCAGCACACGACAGTCGCGGATGACGTGATTCGGCCGTTGGCAGTAGGTACAGCTGTGACTACGGCGAGGTGGTTCATCTCGTTTATGAGGGGCATTCGAGATCACCTGAAGCGCCGTTTCACCAGCCGTCGCTGTCAATTCAGGGGTGCCTTTCTCGATAACATACTTGCGCTTGGCGTAGTCATCTAACACCTTGCGTTCGATGTTGGTCTTCAGGTCGGTGTAAGGTATGAAATTCTTACTTCCCTTCCAGATGGCCAGATCGGGTTTCCACGTGCTGGGATGGCATGGTACAGATACAGTGATTTCTGTTCGTCAGTCATCATGATTCCGGTAGCTTCAGCCGCAGCCTTCAAGGCGCGATCAAAGGTCAGGAAGAAACCCATGAGGTCCGTATCTTCCTCATACTAGATGGTCACTAAGTAGTGATTGATGTAGTACGGGTTACCATGGGCTGTCGAGCCTTCATAGCGATCGCGCAGCTTTTGGTAAATCGAGAATGCAGACGTACAACCCTCAACGAGAAGCACATGAGCATCATCAATCGTGGAGATCAGGAACGATCGAGTTTTGCGCTCCATACGGCGTCTTTTATGTGAGCTCGGTTTACGAGCATCACGTTTCTTGGCGGCTCGAACCCTAGCTCGGGCCTTCTTAGCCTGTGCACGGAGCAATGCCCGGCGTCTTTCCTTGTCTCGGTTGGGCGCGGTGAACGGCTTGACCACAGGCAGAGACTTAGCAGGAGTCTTGGGTGGGCGGGAGGACGGCGCACCCGTCGAATTCGCTTCAGAGGAATTTCCTGAGGACGAATCCTCACCAGAGGAGCCAACGCCCTTGGGTTTGGCGATATCATCAGCTGGGATGCCGTCGTCGGGACTATCCAGCAGTGGTGCCGTACCCGTGTCGGAGAGGAGCTCCTCCGACGGAGAGGGAGAGGGTGGGTCTTCTCCATTCGAGGTGTCACCGGACGTGTCGGAGTCACCGCCGTAGTCTTCTTGGTCGATGAAACCGAGGAGGTCTTGGCCGTCGAGGGCAAGCGCGAACGCGAATATTTCACACGGCTAAATTGGAGCCATTGAAACGCGGGAAATCTTCGCCAGTTCTCCCCAACATGGGGCTCAAAACCTGTCGAGGCATCTTGACCAGGGCGCAGGTGGAAGTAAGAGAAACCGGTGTATACTTAAGGAGTAAGCGGTAAAAAGAAGAGTGAGATCGATTTAGTTAGAGAAGAGAGAGATAGCGGAGCAGTGGTGCTGCTACGCGTAGGCTGCAGAGCCAACTATCTAGAATCCTGTCAAATCTGGTAGTACAGACCTGTCTAAATCTGTAAATATCAGACTGAGCGTTCTCTGTCAGCAGGTGTACTGCTGCCACATTGACAGACACTATAGGAAAAAGATTTGTAGGGGCTTACGAAAATATATACGCCCCCTTGTGACCACGGGCTATAATCCTGGTTGACGTCCATGCTTCGTCCAGGATATATCCAGGACGTATGTTATGCATACCTTCGCCCTTCTCCTAACATAAGCACTTGCAGCTGGCATGCAGTTCTCTGCTGCGACCTGTGCTACAACTCCCACCTCACCATTAGCGCCGACAAACCATTACATATTTCTCCTACTCACTTGCATTACCCACCTGCCGAAGTACCATTGAATGTTACTCTTACTCGCTTGGATTGCCTCCACCGACACGCCGGACGCCAAACGCCACCTCATCGTTATCTCAGACCCAAGCCAAAGCTATCTATATGAACAACCCGGTCTGTAGCTCGGTAGGCACTACTAGGTGAAAGAATGCTCAACCGGAGACAGAGGTTTGCCGCGAGCAACAGGGATTATAAACTGTCTACAGGCAAACAATTGGCCACGCGATCGTTCTACTGAGCAATTTCGATTTGATGTAGACACGCAAGAAACCAACATCTTGGTCGTTTCAAATGCTATAGAGACGGCGTAATAACCGCCATTCTCTACTACTCACCACAGCTCTGTCGAGTTGCACCAGTCGCTCGTAACAGGCTGTCTGTAGAGGCTGGATGGACGCGTTGCAAAGTGACACGTTTCTACGTGTTACTTCGGCTGGGTGAGGCGACGTATGGGATCATGGACGACGGTGAGATCATGACGAGGTTATTCGAGGATCTGCCGTATCCTCGCCCTGATGGTGAGTTCCATGCTGGACCGCACTGTTGGCGAAGACGTGGGCACGACGTTCACGTGTCATGCGCCGCTCTGGATGTCCGAAATGAAGCGCTCTCTGTCATTTGCGCTCCGGAACCAACAGTGACACAGCACCTACGCAAGAACCAACAACTTACTGTCAGGAATCGCTCAGCGAACGGGCTAAACAATCAGCCATCATCACGGGTATACGTTCGAAGGGCGCTGTAGAAGTCAGAACAAGACAAGCATCTTCAGAATCGGATAGTAGTGATTACCAGAACAGCATCGACAACACCAGTTTTGCAGCTGACAACAGCGATGGAGATGATCTCAATTCCACTCAGAGTTGTAATATGCTGAGACCAACGTAAAAGTGGATCCTCCAAATACCTAGCACGAAGCGTGGGCACTTTATTTCGACGACTACTGTCGTCGAACACTACAAGTTCTACCAGTGTAGGAGTCGCAAAAGCATACGGAGCGCAACCGCCGTATATTGAAGACGAAGAAAGGAAAACAAGGTGATGTTGAACTGTTCCCTGAAGATCTTGGCATGTACATTCGCGTGTACATATGCACACACGGGTAGAAGTCCATGAAGTCACGTGCGCAAGGCCCTCGCCCTCGACAGCACATTCGAGCTACCGTATGCAAATTCAGGTTGTCGTACAGTGGCAAAATACCCAAACGGGCTGGAAGCTGCGTGTTATTTCGGAGGCCCGCTACACCCACAAGCAAAAGTATTTCAAGCAACAGCACATCAGATCTCCGTATCACCGAAACACACCGCGTTGAGAACATATCAACAACGACTACCCAGAGCAACGCTGCAGGTGCTAGCAACAGCGCTTCTTCCAATTTCGGTCTGGAGGCGTTCGCTTCCGCTGTAGTGTAGACAGTGTCTGTTCTTCAGTAAGGGATCCTCCCACTAAATACAACTTCAATACAACATACATGTTTCCACAACACACCGTTTGGCTACTTGTAGTGTAAGGAGAATCAAATCATCGTCTTTAAAACTAATTCCGTCATATGGAGCAAGATACACTTCATATCTTCCCGAACATTTTATGCTAGGATTCGGATCCTGGACGTGTCCTGGACAAGTCTTGGACGTGTCCTGGACAAGTTTTGGACTTGTCCTAGATTATTATCCTTGGTCGTAATACCTGGCAAATATATATATGATGTTGCACTATGAATGGTGCGTAGGCCGACTAGCGGCTTGAGATCGAGTCTGGGGAGACTGGTACGGCAATATCGTATTCAATTATCATTTTTTCTGAATATATTTGGCACCCCGTAGTGTAGCGCTGTATCAAACCGGGAACTAAGCACCCAATACGCTGGTTTCTCTGCCTACAGAACAACAATTCA